GCTAGGATGAGTTTTTCCAACGGAAGGTATCGTGTTTCGACATCAACCATTGCCTTGCTCACATAACACACTGGCCGTTGCTCCCCAAGTTCTTCCTTCAACAGTACGGCGCTGACGGCCTGGTCGAAAACTGCCAGATATAGGATGAACGGGTCACCTGCCGAAGGTGTTGTCAAGAGTGGTACTGATCGGAGGTAGGTCTTCAGACTGTTGAAAGTGGATTCGCACTCAGAGTTCTATTCAAAGGCCTTGCCCTGCCGTAGGGTGTGAAAGAATTACGGGCAGCGGTTTGTGGAACGACTGATGAACCTGTTGAGTGTGGCGGCCATCCCCATCAACTTTTGAACCTCCTTCACCGATTGAGGGGAGCTGATTTCTAGGATAGCTGTGATTTGCCTCGGGTTGGCTTCGATGCCTCGGTGATTGACAATGTAGCCAAGGAATTTGCCAGATCTAATCCCAAAGGCACACTTGGTAGCGTTCAGCTTCATTTTGTACTTGCGTAAAATGCCGAATGTCTCTTCTAGGTCAGCTAGATGAGTTTCCTTTTCCTTTGACTTCACTACCATATCATCAATGTACACTTCCATAGTACGACCGAGTTGCTCCATGAACATGGCAATGCTTAGTCTTTGGTAAGTTACCCCTGCATTCTTCAGCCCAAAAGGCATAACCTTATAGCAATAGGTTCCTCTTGGGGTGAGGAATGCAGTTTTGTCTTGGTCCTCCAGATGCATGGAAATTTGATGGTAGCCTCTGTAGGCATCGATGAAGCTCATACGCTAATGACATGCTGTAGCATCTACAAGTTGGTCTATTCTGAGAGGGGAAAATAATCATTGGGGCAAGCTTTGTTTAGGTCCATGAAATCAACGCAGACGAGCTAAGTCCCATTTTTCTTCTTCACAACCACGGTATTCGAGAGCCATGTAGGGTAGGTCACTTTCCTGATTGCTCCGGCGTCAAGCAACCAGTCAACCTCTTTAACAACGGCGGCAGTGTGTTCTGCGGCTGGCCGTCGGCTTTTCTGTACAATCGGCTTACATTTGGGGTCAACGTTTAAACGATGCTGAGAGATAGATGGATCTACCCCCGGTATCTCATACGACGACCATGCAAATACGTCGAGGTTGCCGAGTAAGAAGGTAATTAGCCGCTGTCTGTCTTCATCATTCAGGGAGGGACCGATCATGAAGAACCTATCAGGGTTCCCAGAAATTTCAACTCGATCCAGGGCTTCCGTGGCCTTTTCACTTGGCAGCCATCCAACATTGTCGAGGCTCTCTCGATCCGGTACCTCAATAGAATTCACTTCCAGTTCTCTTGGTGTCTTCGCGGCAAGGAGATAACATGCTTGTGCCGATTTCTAGGAACCACGGATTTATTCAACGCCTCGTTCAGTCGGGAGGCGGAGCAATTGATGATAAGTGCTCGGCACGGCCTGCATGATGTGCAGCCAAGTTCGTCCCATGATGAGATTATACGGCGAATGGGGTTTGACAACTAAGAATTCCACATCCACTGTTCGCGAGCCAGCTTGAACTGGTAGTGTGATTTTGCCCAACGGGTATTCTGGATTAGCATTGAAGCCGAATAATGGATAAGGAGATGGAGAAAGATCTGATTCGGTGAAGCCAAGTTTGGTGAATATCTTGTAATACATAACTTCCGATGTGCTCCTCGGATCAATGAGTACGCGCTCAACGGTGAACCGGTTTACTCGTAACTTGATTACCAAGGGATCGATGCGAGGAACTGTCACTCCGGTCAACTCTAAATCATCAAAAGCAATGCTCGTAGCTTCATGGGGCCGTTTAGCCGAGGTGAGTTGATTTTGAGGGTCGAGATGCGACTGAATTGTATTCACCGCGGGTGTTATTGGCAGACTACACATCATGTGGATCACGCGGAGTGGAGGTGAATCCTGCCATAAGGCTATTGCTTTGGTTGAGTTGCCTTTTCGGACGTACTGTTTTAGCCGACCATCATGTACCAATTCCTCCAGATGATCATTCAATGCATAACAACTCTTAGTATTATGGTCGTGGTCTTTGTGATACTCATACCGCCTATCCCGTCTTCTCGTGTTGAGAGGTCCCACCATTTTGGATGGCCATTTGAAGAACGGAAGGTGTTGGACTTTAGACATAACTGCGCTGATCGGCTCTGACAACTCCGTATATTTCTTGTCCGCGCGCCTGGTGCGTCTGCTATCTACTTGAAGTTGTTCACTAGCTCGGTGGGAACATTGGTCATTTGTTCGGCACAAATCCCGTCTCTTGTCGCGCTTAGTCCGACTTCGTGATTCAGGGCTCCGCGTTGGTATAGAGTTTATCGGCTGAACAATCTCAGAAGGGGCCGTCTTGTTAGCCTTGTTTCTGGCTTTAACCCACAGAGCATCATCTTTCACTTTGCAATATTCCTCGACTTTCTTCATCAACGCTCAGACTGTTTTTGGGGGCCCTTCTAGTCAAGGAACTGCGGAGGGCACTATCAAGATGCAACCCTATTTTAAAGGAGGTGATGGCCATGGAGTCATTGCAGGCGTCATCCACAAGATTGAAACATTCCCAATAGCGTGCCGAATACGCTCGTAGAGTTTCTCTTGGTTGGATCTGCATTGCCCATAGAGAGTCGGCTTGCTTCGGCTGGACCTCGTTTGTGATGAATTTTTCCCTAAAGGATTTTCTGTAATTGATGGAAACTCTTAATCGATGCCAGCTCGAACTTATAATACTATCTGACGGCCAATGGTTCCAAACTGCTCGGAAATATTCTGCACATGAGAGCCTCGTCATCTGCATGCAACGTCATGGCTTGCTTATAATGATAGATATGATCAGTAGGGTCCGATTTCCCATCGTACAGGGTGAACGACGGGGCCTTGAACTTCTTGGGTAGTACTGCCTTCGCGATCCGTCGCACAAAGGGATCGTGCTGGTCTTCTTTGTCTGAACCATTTCGTCTTCGCTTATGCCTTACATGTGGACTCTCTTCAGAGGAACTGGTAGTTTCGAGTCGTCCATTCTTTTTGGGCTCCAGAGATAATGAGTTAGAGTCACTATCACTATCTTGTCTCTGAACTCAAGGTTTTCGACCATCCGCTCTCAGAGGTCGTCCTGGATCTTGGCGCGTGACTTGTTTAGACTTTGCCACTTCCAAGGCCAAATCTTGCCTGAGGCGCTCGTTCTCAGCAATCATGTTTTTCAACCTCTGTTCGTTTTGCTTCACATGTTCCATGATCGCTTGTATTGTCTCATGTGCTGAAGTTGAAGGTGAGGTATGGGCAACGGAGTCAAAGTTCAAGGCGCGTCTCGCGGTGATGTTCTTAGGTCCTAGCATGTTCGTTGGAGTGAGGTCATCTCTCTAGTCGGTTTCGTCAGCGACTATCGAAGGATGTTCCGTTACGCCCGCCATAGATGTGGTTGGGTATTCTCACAGACGACGCCAATTGTGGAGAAGTGGTTTTGGAAATACTCTTCTGATCCAATAAGACGCTCGAGATCCTCAGCTGGTAACTTAAAAAAGAATGAACACTCCAATCGGGGGTACCAGAATTACCACTCCGACGGACAAGTTAGTGTATACTCTCTTGATTGCTTGTATCTTAAGTTAAGCATACTAATTCTCACATACCTCTCTTTGGATGATGTTTTTCTATTTATATCTTTTTCTTTCTTGGGCTTCAGGGCTGGACCCACTTTCAATTCATTGTACAACTATTTACTCGGCTCCTTTTGTTGCAAGCCGCTCTTCACTCGGCCCCTTACTCAACTGGTTATTTGGCTGAATAGGGTATTTCTGGATTTGCATGTATAAGACGGGGCCTAATTCGATATATGAATTTCGACTCTCTAGGTCCAACTATTCGGCCTCTTCACGTGTCCCATTATTCGGCTCCCCACACTAACATAAACAAATCATTCAAAATCTTAAATTTTTAAATCAACTCATAAACTAAGACAAGCACACATATTTTAAAATCCTAAACTAGATCATCAATTTTATTCGCTATCTACTACCCAACAATACAATTAAATTAAAATCATTCAAAATCATAAATTTACCTAAAAGTAATTCTTTATTAACTTTTACATTCATCCAAAAAATAATAATAAAATAACAATGGTCTAGGTTAAAAAAAAAAATGAGTCAAAGTGCGGGCGGGTTCTTGCGGGTGCGGGTTAAACCTGCAACCCACAATCGTGCCATATTTCAAACCACATCCACTCGCATTGTATCTGCGAAATCACCCATTTATATGCGGATCAGTTCAGGTTAGCGGGTTGTGCAGTTCGAATAACATATGCCCAGCCCTAATAAAAATATTCTATTTCATCCGTACCAAGTGTGCTATTAAAATTTTAGGATAAATTATAAATATCATTCTTAAGATTGATTTAAAATATGAATATTTATGTAGTTTAAAAAATTCAAAATATTTTATTATCAAATTTTTTTATTTAACAGAATTAACTGAAAAAAGTAAAATTTCTAACTAATTTTTTATACAATTATAAAATTAATTAAATTATTAATTGAAATAAATTTTTAACATCATTAAAAAATTATTAATTGACTAGATGATTTATTAATAATAAAAAAATAATTTGCTATTATACTAAAAAATTCAAGAGACGAAATATAACTGAATGACACAAATCATATTTTAAGTAAATCTTTAAGATCGTATTTATAATTTATTCTTAATTTTATAATAACTAGACCAAAATGTATATATAATGCATGACAAATTAATAAAAAATATATTTAAAAAGTGAATATATATAAAAAAATGAGTAGTTATAATTATTTTGAAATTGACAAGTTATTTTTTTAAATATTAAAATTAAATTAATTAAAAATAAAATAAATGATAAAAGTATTTGTATAGTTTATTTATTTATGTAATTTAAAACAAAAATTTCAAGGCACTAACTTTACTTGTGTTTTTTACATTTAATTAATTAAAATTAATTGTAAGAAAGGATAATCATTTTTTTGGGAAGGTCCCAACCAAACACTGCCTAATCGTGATTCACCGACTACCAAGCTCCGATTATGGTCTCCATTCCCAAGTCTTGGAGCTTTTCTTCCAACTCTGTCTAGGGTTTTCACTTTCCTGCACCAAATTCTCTCTCTCTCTCTCTCTCTCTCTCTCTCTACACTCATGTACGTATAATCTTTCTTCTCTCTCTAGACCTCAACGATCTCCGCCTAAAAATTTGGGTTTCAGTGGTGTTGCTTTCGATTCAATCCGATCCGATCTTCCCTTCTCTTCGGATGAGAAATCTCGAAGAACTCACATTCGAAATCGCTCACTCTCTATCTCCAACTTCGAGTTTTCCCGCCAAAATCGACGGCCACGATGGTCACGGCCTCTCTCCCCCCTCCTCTGCTTCCTCCGGGTGCCATGGATTCTGGCGCGACGCTGCTCTGGCGGTCCCTTCAGCCCTGTTCGTGCTCTACTTGGCTTTTCACGCCAAGGCGAATCTCAGGAAGCTCAGTCATGGCCGATCCTATATCATGATCTCGTACTATGCTCTCCTTTGGTTCGCAGCCCTCCTAAACCTCGCTTGGTCCTCTCTTCAGGTACTACAATCATTTGCTTTTGCTGTTCGTCTCGTAAATTCTGCAATTTCTAGGTTTTCTTTTTAGTTGGTTACTTAACTGAATTTGGAGTGCACTAATGCGGTTTTCTTTCATGTTGTTTGGTTGGTAAGAAAAATGAAAAGAAATAAACCTAATTGAGTGAGATAATTTGCGCTGCCAGTTAGCCAAGTGATTGATGTTGTCTTGGAGGTTTCTTAGAGGTTCCAATATGTATTTAAAATAGCATAAGCTGGACATTTAGTTCTCACTTTTGACAACCAACCCCCTGTTGAATTCACCCCATGTGAAGGAGGTGATGCTCTTCCATGGGAACACACCTTGGTCAACAATGGAAGGCAACCAACCAAGTCAAGCTTGGTGGCCACCAACCATGTCAAGGGTCAAGAATGGAGGCTACCCAAAGGCACTCCCACCTACTCCAATGTGTATAAAGGGAGGGTGAGAGGAGAGGCCAAGTGAGAGGTGTAAGAGAGGAAGAAAACCGTGAACCAAAGAGTGCGAGAGATGTGAGGCGGAGAGACCGTCTCCCTCGGTGTGAGCGAGGGAGACGGGTGAGTGGCTGAGTGAGGAGAGTGTGAGCTCCTCCTCTATTGTAATCTTTCTGTAATCTCCTCATTGGTATAGTGATAACCGGTTACTCTCCCGTGGACGTAGGCATTGGGCCGAACCACGTAAAATATTGTGTCTCCTTGTGTGTGGATGTGTTTTTCTGCTTGTTTTGATTTCTATAAGGTCTTGGGCGGGATCCCAGATCCCAACACCCCCCCCCCCCCCCCCCCAAAAAAAAAAAAAAAAAAAAAAAAAAAATTGTACTTTAATATATCATATCTCCAAATGAAAAGATTAGTACAAAGAGGGTGTGCCAAACTGCCTTTTATTTTATATAATTTGAATGTATGAGATGAATGCATGATTATCTTAATTTTGATTGGATAGTAGAATTTAATTAATTGTGGTTAAGATGAGTTTGAATGAACTTAAATTGTAACACTTCATGATTAGCATTGAAAGAAGAAATTAAGATATTACCATTGTTGAAGAATTTGCTTTGGTACATAATAGTTAAACTAATACTTTGTGACCAATTCAGGACAATCAACTAAAGGGTTTAGAAATGAGAATATGGGATTAAGGACTTGAAAAGATAAAAAGATTAGAACTGCTATATTCCCCATCTCCCCTATCCCCTCCTCCTCTAGGACAATTTGAAAGAAAACAAAATACTGGTCCTCCTTTGTAAAGTTTTTTAATTTTCCTGTTTTTAATGAAAGTTCTTTGTGTCGCTGATCAAAAAACAAAAAATTGAAAGAAAACAAAATAAATAGAGGCTATAAGCAAAAAAATGGGGGCCACATATGGGAACTTAGAGGGCAAATTAGAACTGTTAAATGTATAGGTAATATTATAATTTCCAAAAAGTTTAGTATATTGTGTATAAATGACTATGATTCATCGACACTGAATTGTTGTATTTACTTTCTCATTGCAAATATTAGACAGATGCACTAAATTTTTTTGAATTTCAATAGGTTTCAAGAACTTATGGTTAGTTTTGAAGTTTCAAAATTACCTCTCAGTTTGATGTCCTGCAAGTGTTTGGAAGCTCAATACTATAGATGATGATTGACACATTAAATGTACTAACTGGATACTTGTTTGTCAAAACAGTGTCGAAGTGTTACTATGCTGAAACATATTTTATGTGAATTTGAAGTGCTTTAGTTTGCAGTGTTGGTATGGTCCAAATTGCTTACAAAGATGCAAGAAATGTTCCTAAAATTGTTGCAACTGGGAAACCTGCCAGTTTGTAGAATCAGCTGAAACAATTTGGTGTATTGCATCTCAAATGGCCTGACTTTGCCTAGCAGTCTTGGAGCATAAGTGGAATATGTGTCCAGCCATTATGACTACAAGTAGTAATTGGTGAAGCATGCATGCTGCCGAATAGGATCAATTTCTGCTGCTATTTGTGTACTTATTAATGGAATTACATTAATTGGGATTTTCACCTTGATTGTGTTTCAGATCTTATCCTTTTCACTATGATATCTAATGTTTCTACTGCCAGTAAAATGACCATCACTAAGGCCACATTTGGTATGCAGGGAATGGATATTCCATACTCATTCTCATTCTACTATTTGCTTGTTGATATAGAACAATTTTTTGGTTATGATTATGACTTTCCATAATCTGGAATGAAAAGAAATTTCCAAATTACATTATATATATATAATCAACATAGCACATTTTGTAAAACAGTATTACAAAAAAACAAAACTTGAATAGTAGTAAATTACTAATAATAATAATAATCTGATTTTTACCATTTGCTTTAGACAATGTTTCATGGAACATTAGGTCATTAATCATACACAAAAACCTTTAGGAACAAAAATTATTATTATTTATGGACATTTTCAAAAAGATTTCCTTCGAACATCAATCCATAAGGAGTCTTCATTTGCTCTTTCAAATACATTGTGAAGCTACTGAGAAATGGTTGTTCCGCAAACGTATTGTAAGATGACTGTCATGTGTCACTAATTCTTGCCAGATTTTGATTTGGCTCACCAACGACTTGGGATGTTCTACGTTGATTTTTGAAATGCTGCACGAGAAGGGAAAAAAAAAAACTGTAAAGCTACCAATATGATTTAATAAAGGACTATAAGAAACCTTTTTTTGTCATTTAAGAGAATATGATTTCACTTGTGTCAACCAGCAGTCTTAATTGTGTCCATATTATCAGCAGTCAGTTCTGAGAGCCACTGATTTGGATTGGTAATTCATCATATGATTTGCATTCTGTGAAATAGGCATGGCAGTGTTCTCCTGGGAAGGAAGTTGCATGGAACGTGTTGTCAATGTTCACCACAGCTGGGATGCTATGTTTGGAGATTAGCTTATTGGTTTTCTTATTTCAAGATAATTATGCTACTGGGTTGGAAACGCTATCACGTGCTTTTGCTCTTTCAGGCCTCATTGTTGGTGCCGATATACTTTTCAAGGTAGCACTTGCTTTAGCTTTATAAATTAGTGCCTGTGATTGTGTGTGTGGTTTGTGCCAGTATGTGTTTGTTTGTCTTTGTATTTTTTCAAGTAACTGCAAATGTCATGTTTGTAGATCTCAAGTGAATATGGTTAGGGCTCTGGTTGTGCTCAAATGTCACAGCCTTAAATGAATGTGTGCGCTTGCAAGTAGGTATGACTTGGCTTGTTTGAGCATTCACCAGGAAGCTTGGTGGTAGTTCCACATATCCTAAGGTAACCTAAAAGTAAGATGGTTATTCTTGCTTGCATCTTCCTAAGGTCTTCTAGAGAGAGTGTCTTTAACCCCTGGGCTGATGTTTAGAGGGGTTGGGGACCAAGTTAGGATATATAGTATTCTAGATGATTCTAAGGTTTCTTGTACGAAATAAGGCTACAAGAAAAAAGGGAAGTCCTTGGGCAGAAATCTTGAAAGGTCCACACTCTAGGATCCCCGGGACCAATGTACCAGCTTGACAAGGACTCTTTGGGCTGGCACACAGGGTGCCCCCATTTTAGGGTGTTTTTGTATGCTCCCAGTCACCTTACTCTTTAGGTCGACTTCAAACAGACATTCTGGACACATTCGAATTCCATTTTTTGCAAGCCGTGTATTGCTGGAGAACTTGAAGAGATTAATTTTGTCTCCCATTGGTTTGGTTGCTAAATTCTTAGTACCATTTGAGTTATGACCATTTACCCTGGCAGGTCAATAAAGAGTCATTTTTGTAAAATATTCATAACTCTTTCATTTTAGATCAGGTGACTCAAGGCCCATTTTATATGCCTGGAAGTCCTTTCAGTAGGTCAAAATGAGAAGTTTTGCACATACAACAATGGGTGCAAGTCGACCTTTTGGAGGGCATCTGGAGGCAATTTGGTTATTTGCTCTGTTTCATGATTTAGCTCAATTCTAAACCTGGAAAACCACTTCCTAATGTTAATTAAGTTATAAATTGAGTCCTAAAGGAAGTGGACATGCTTGTGATTGATTGGAAAATTTGTTGCAATCTCATTGAAATTTGAGCCACTTGATTGCTCATCATCGGGTACTCAAGAAAATTAGCTCAAGTCTTATAAGCTAGCCAAAATGAGGCCTCTAAGTGAGGCATGAGTTTAAATGGAATTTCAGCCCCAAGTTTTTACTTGAGTTTGTTTTCAAGGTTAATCTTAATGCACTTTGTTACAAGCCTTTTGAAACTATGGTGGAAACATAGAATACAAAATTTGTGTGAAGAAGGATTGAATGGGAAGACCAGTGCAGGATCCATGAACTCATACTGGCAATTGGGAGAATTAATGAGTTTGGCATTCCAAACCACGATACTTGAACAGGTGACTGAAAGGCTTGGCATGCACCATCATGATCCGTACTAGCGTTTTCACTTTAATAGAGAATATAGTAGGATTTCTTACTCACTAGGGCTCACTTAAATTTTGTAAGACTATTTCTTATTTACAACTATGATTTCTATAAGGGGGATACGTTGCTCAAAATTTGGCTTCTTTCGGTTATCTTAGTTTTTATCCTTTTTTCCCATTTTTAGGTGGATGCGTTGGAATAAGTCTGGCAAGTTCTTCGCCTTTTCTCATGAGAATTATTGTTTAATGCTCATGTTGATGAGTTAAGTTCCCTAGGTACAGATCACATGTTAGGCAAACTATTCTCCTTTATCTTTTCACAGGCACGGTGTAGGATTGGATTCTTATCTTTCCATTGCAAGTACCTGAACTTTTATTATATGTAGTTTTCCTCCGCATCTGACATTTCATACTCATTTTTTAAACAAACAGCCTTTTTCCTTGAAGGCTTACCTTTTCCATTTTGCAGGCAATTTTTGTATTTGGATTTGGGGTCCCCCTGTTCATCGACAGCAATGAAACTACACAGAGGATGAAGTGGGGCTTGTGGACCATCCACAAGCTATTGTTTACAGCAGTTTATGGCTTCATATTATTTGTGCATTACTTAAAATGGAGAGACAGGTTGCCTCGTAAGTTCAATTTTGATGCAGTGATCATTGTTCTTTCTTTCCTCTCCTCTCCCTAATTTCTTCTGTTTCTGGATTTTACACAATCTAACCCCCCTTTTCTTTTGGGCAGCAAAACCCATGTTCTACAACTACGCTGTCGTCATGTTTGGGATTAATGCAGTGGCATTATTTGCTTGTGGACTTGCAGGAATTGGGGCTGGCTTTGGACTTTGGTACCATTAAATTAAATTAATTTCCTATGCACATAAGAAATAAACTAACCAAGATTTCTTTTAGATGACCGTAACTAACCACTTGTGAATTGCCTTCTCATCTGCAGGTTGTACAATTTCACGTTTATCTGCTATCACTGTCTTTATCTTCCCTTTCTGTATGTAACCTTTTCTGCTGATCTTTTCCAGGTGATTCACTCTTTACCCTGTCTCTATATTTAAGATGATCATGATTCAGTGCATTTGTTCCATATGATGATGATGATGATGATGATGATGATTTCAGGAGGAAGATTTGCTTTTGGATAATGCATATTACTCTGAGATGAAAGATGCAGGGTTCTTTGATGCTGATTGGGACTAACTTCCTTAGCTCATTTACAATTGGTGTATATATAGGAAAATAATTGTCCCCTGTATTTTTATATTTATTTTATTTTATTTTTTTGTATTTTGCAAATTATGTAATTTAAATTAACAATTTGGAAATGCAATTGTTAATATATGTAGGTGAATAATAAGGAAATAAACATAAAACCAAAGAATTGTATACCAGAGGCAAGTGAAAGAGACTGACCAGGACTGTTTTTAGCGTTGGAAACTTTCTTGTTTCCTCCCTTGTGACTGTAATTGCATATCTAACACCTAAATGTAGCAGAGAGTAAGAATAGGTTAAAGTTGCTTCATTTCAATTAATTTTTCATCTGATTTAAATTTTTTAATTTTTTTTTACTGCAATTTTAGTGTATATATATTGTTCTCTTTTATAGAGTATGCATAAGAGTTTGTTTTCGTTTTTTTTTTAAAGTCGCAAGAGGAGTTTTGCTGGTTAATTTTACATGACATTTGACATTAGTAAAATAGTTATGATTGGTTGGCAGGAATAAAGAGGCATAATGAGAATTGTATTCTGCCTCCGTTTGGCAAGAGCTTTTTCAGGCTTTTTTGGCTATTTTAGCCACAAAAAACAAAATAGGCTATTTTAGCCATAACAAACAAAACATCACATCCAACCCATAATCATTACATTCTTCTCTCACAAAAAAACTCAAAAAAGCCAAAAAGCCAAAAAGCCCTTCCCAAACCAAGCTTTTAAGCCCAGGCTAAAATAGCCAAAAAAGTCAAAAAGTCAACCCACTTCCCAAACGGAGGCTCTATATGTTTCGATTATTTATGGGATTTGTGTGTGTGTGTGTGTGTGTGTGTGTGTGTGTGAAGAGTTATATTTATGGTCCACTCATGTTGAGATTCATTTTAGGGGTTGTTTGGGATGACTTAAATAAGTGTATTTTTTGTCTTTTTATAAAAAGATGTGCAGAAAAGTAGAGAGATGATGTGATGGAAAAAAGATAAAAAGATAAAAAGTGTACTTATTTAAGATAACCAAACTTGACCTTAGTTATATGTTTTGCAAATTTTTTTTTTAGAATATTCTTGCAAAGTTTATTTAGTAGATCATTTTTCATAAAAATCCAAGTTGGTTGGATATGACAGTTTTACATAATTGAATTATGTCCTAAAAAATTAAAGAATTGTTCATAGAATAAACTGTTTATTTTTATTTAAAAAAAAAATATAAACTCATCATGTGATTATTGATATTTGATTAATTTAATTTTTTTATGATTGTTTTGCTCAATAAATTATATAAGATAAACAATTTAAATTATTAAAGTAAATACTGAAATGAGCTGATCCAATCCAACTAAGTTATTGATTTTAGTAGGTAATGCTAATCTAAATCACAGCCTTTAATTTGAACTTGTGTCTGCCAAAAAAAACAGTACGAACATTGCCACAGTAACACACAGAAGAGTCACATACCTCAAAAGTATTCTCAATTTTGATTTTGAATTTGAATTCTATTTCATTTTTTTTTTTTTTTTTTTTTTTAAGTTAAAAAATTTGATTGATTTTGCACCTCCCCATGAAATAGCCTATCTTCTCCTAAACATGGGGTAAAGATTAGACTAAACGGTGGAAAGAAAAATGGTTACTCTTTTTCTCTCTCTCTCTCATATTATGGTTGAAATAGCACCAAAAACAAGGTTCTCATAAACCGACACTAGCCTGGTCCACCTCCATCCCATCATACATGGAATTTTTTTTTGAAAAATGCTTCGTACCATTAATTTAGCACCACTAATACATTACTAATGATGTGATATCATGTGAATCCTACCACTATGTGATAATTTGGCCTTTATTTTATTTTATTTTATTTTTTTTACATTATGTTTTTAAAGTTTCAAATTTAATACTCTAAATCATCACTTTTTTTTTTTATGGGTTACACTGATATTTTGAAGTTTTTATTTAATATAGTGTTTCTTTTTTGTATGAAAAATTATACTATATCTTTTATCAAATTAAAATAATATATTTATTTTTCAAACTTTATATATATAAAATAATAAAATAATATTAATATTTAATTCATGTCATTTTAAGAGAAGTAATAATTATTTTCTTTGATTTAACTTAAACAAAAAAATTTAATTTTTTATTTTTTATTTTTTTACTGAATTTTTAAAAATATTTTAAGTAATTTTTTTATTTTTTAAATACATATAATTTAAATATACTCAAGAAGTATAATATTTTGTGATTTTTTTTAAATTCACCAAATACAAAAAAGAAATAAAAAAATTCAGTAATACTATAATAAATGTGAATGACAATATTTGATAATATTATAATAAATGTGGGTGAATAGACAAGAAAAAAAAAATGATGCTGAAAATAAAAATGAAAAATTCTATTCATATATAAAAATTTATACAAAAAATATTATAAAAATGTTGTAATAGTGATATTATTGTAAATATAAATCATAAAGCCTCGTTTGGGAAGCAAGATTTGAGGCTTTTTTTTGACTATTTTAGGCACAAAAAATAAAATAGGCTTTTTAGCCCAATAAGACAAAACATCACATCTAACTCATAATCATTACATTCTTTCTTTCACAAAAAAATCAAAAAAGTCAAAAGTCCTTCCAAAACCAGGCTTTTTAGCCGCAGGCTAAACTAGCTCAAAAAATCAAAAAGCCAACCCACTTCCCAAACAAAGCCTTTATGGGTGTTTTGTTTTAAAGTGAAAAATCATCATTAAGTTATATTATTGTGTTTGAAAATTTTATATAAAATTTATGTTTGTATATTATCACTTAATAAGAATATGTTCAGGTAGAATTTAATGATAAAAAATTATAAAATGTAGTAATGATGATAAGAAAAAAAAATGTAGGAAAAATAATAAAATGGTTATTTAAAAAATTTTATGGCATGACATCAACAATTTATGGAAACAATTTATAATGACATTATAAATCTCAATGAGGGAAATGTAATTTTTTAAATGTGATGGAAGGTTTTGTATTAAACAGAAATCTCAAGGGGTGTCAGTGTAATTTACCCTTTTTTTTAAAAATTATTTATGTACATCTATACATTATAAAAAAAAGGTCCAGCTTGTCTTTAATTGGAATCAAGATTGGACCGTCCAGTCCGCACTGTAAGCTCACTTTTGGATTTCATTTCTATAATTCAAATTGTTCATATTTTAGAATTCGTCGAGTACATCATTTAAGTAAAAAATCAAATCAATCGAATAACGACAATCACGTATTCAAATCAATTTTATATGAACCATTAATTTTTTTACCGTCTATTTTTTTTTATACAAAACTGTTTAGAACACGTAGTTACTGTTATCCGATCGACTTAATTATTTGACAAAATGATGTACTCGAAGAACTCTAAAATGTGAACGATTTAAATTATCGAAACGGGACCCAAAAGTGAGCCTACGATGTCGACTAGACGGGTCCAATCTTGATCTCAAACTGGAGACAAATTGGACCCTTACCAAAATCTCTATAGTATTTCTGTCTCATCATCTACTACTGAAAAAACATAGAATTAAAGTGAAATTTTAGTGTATGCATATGCATTTGAATAAAATTTGATAAAAGGTAAAGTATTAAATTATACAAGAAAAATATAAAATGTCAATCTTAAATTGTGAGTGTTTTCGTCACAAATTAACATAGCAAACTATCAACCGAGTTGAGGTTTGGAATATTTTGAGTTCAATTCGTTAAAAATTAGCTAAGTTTAAACTTGACTGGTCAAATATTAACCAACCTTAAACTCAATTTAAACTAACTTGATTACATAAACGAATGGAGTTAAAACTTGAAAAGAAATATAAAATTAAAATAAACATGTAAATTGAGAGAGAAAAGAAAAAAAAAATTACGAATAAAACATAAATAAAGATCTTATTTTAATAAGTTTTATTTATAGTTTCCTCATATCCCTAGATAAAATAAAAAATAAACGGGGCAAAAATGAGATTTTATAAAAAAGTAAAGGGTGTGTAATAAAACTCCATTGTTTTATATACATAGCTATGACCTCCCACATACACCCCTCCTCTCCTCTCTCTCTCTCTCTCTCTCTCTCATCTTCTGCTAAGCTGTTGCAGGCTTTTTTTCTGAGCACCATTGATAGCTCTTCTTCTATCTTTCACCATGGATGGTTTACTGTTTGCAGCCCTTATCTTGGCCTTGGCTGGTCATTCAAGTAAGCTCTCTCTCTCTCTCTCTCTCTCTCTCATCACCCATTTTTACTTTACTCTCTTCTCATTTCTAGCCATGCCCAAACCTTCAAACCATCATATTGTCTCTGTATTTAGTGTTTGGGATGTCCTATTTTTACTTACTTTCCTTCTATGCTTTTTTCTCTGATGAATGCTCATACCCATCATTTTTTTTTTGTTATTTATTAAAATTTTTAGTTGCTTGTAATTCCTTAAAATCTGAGCTCAGTTTAGATTGTGTATAAATCTTTCAAAATGTGTTTGCAAATCCATGTTAATTTATTTTATTATCTCCTCCAACTTTTTTTAAAGTTGCATTTAACCCCTTTTTTGCTTTTTTGCTTTTTTATTTTTTTTATTTAGGATTTAAGTTATTTATTAAGTTCAGTTATAGTGCCTCACTCCTATATTAGGCTTATGATATTAGTTTTCTATCTCCACCACTTAAATTATTTTTTCTCGTTTTAAAAAAAAAAAAAAAAAAAAGTGTATGTCTTGTAACAACTTTTGAGCTTTGGCATTGTTTTCCAAAGATGAATTTCTTTATTTTCATTTCTTTTTAAATCCCATGGAGCTGATTCTTTTGCTTCCTCCTATTTTTTTTCTTTCCTTTCTTCCTTTTTTTTTTTTTTTAAAAAAAAATAAAAAAAAAAAAAAAAAAAAAATTACTTTGATTTTTCTTTCTTGTACACTTACAAGGTTCTCATCTCTCTGATGCGTCAATGATCTTGTCCATTCATATAAATATCTGTGTGTTGGTAGCAGAACTGTTCTTTAAAATAAGTTTAAGAATACATAAATTAATTATAAAATTAGACACGAAATGTATATGAATGGGTTTGATTCTTTATGCGAGATCTCACTAACAAATTTTATAAAATTTTGTTCATTCACATATATTCTACGTTTGATTTTTATATTTGTAACTCTTTAATTAATTTGTTGTTGACGTTGGGTATGGGGTAGGTGCAACATGGTGTGTGTGCAAGGATGGAGTGGGTGATGCAACACTACAGAAGACATTGGACTATGCATGTGGAGCTGGGGCTGATTGTAACCCAATCCACCAGAATGCTGCTTGCTACAACCCTAACACTCTTAAGGCTCATTGCAACTATGCTGTTAACAGCTTCTTCCAAAAGAAGGGTCAATCTCAAGGATCTTGTGATTTTGCTGGCACTGCCTCTGTTACTACTTCAGACCCCAGTGAGAACCTCTCTCTCTCTCTCTCTACTTGTTCTTGTTCTTGTTCTTCAATAATATTAGGACAAATTGCATTTAAGTGAAAATGACTCAAAATAATTGCATGTTTGCATAATTGGGTGGAACTTAGATCAGTATTGCATGTCACAACCTTCACTTGTATCGGCCACTAATACTTTTATTTCAATGAAAGCAATAATTGTTTTGAATTATTCTCACTAAAGTGTACTTTCTTATATAATATTATGTGTATATAAAATAAAATAAAATAAAAAGATAAATTATTTTTCACTTTTATAATTTGACATGATATTTACTTTTGTTTATATTATTTTAATTTGAATAATTTAATTCCTACACTTTCTGTTTAGTTTCAATTGGGCTCTTCCATTGGATAATCATCAATTTCTTCTATGTATACACCTCAAGAGACTTGGCCTCGTTCAAGTCTTGAGACCATTACTTTATTAATTATATGCCAAAAGTTAAATGTATATTCAATCTTTTCCTTTTCAAATACATATTAATGTGTACTAATTGGACGTTATTTTTTATACACCTCGAGAGATTGACACGTGTAACAAACTCGCTAATTTTAACATCAAATTTGAACGAAATGACCGAATTGTTGAAATAATAACAACCAAAATAGAACAATTAATGTGTGGCTATATGCACATAGTATTGGTGTTACAGGATTCAAATTTTTTTTTTAAATTTACCCTTTTCTTGTTTTTTTTCTTATGGTGATTTACAGGCTCTACTGGTTGCGTTTATCCTGCTAGCGCTAGGTATGCTTTATTTATTTATTTATTTATTTTATATGCTTATGATTTATGTACAAGTTCTTTTATTTTCATTTTTTGTTTTTTGGACTTGGTGTGAAGCTGTGAGCCTCTCAGTGTTGGAGGTTGGGTGTGTTTGGGGGTTATTGGGTGCTTTTCACGGGCCATGTGAAATGCCGATAATAACCCTGAATCCTGGTGTGTGGTGTCACACATCACTTTGGTCCTTGATACTTTGGTACTATATAGTATATTGTCTTTTGCCTCAGTGGATCCCACTTATAAATTCAGCATGTGGGACACCAATCTTTTCTACTATATTTTTTTAAATATATATTTGACTCTTTAATCTAATTTTTCTTAAGGCCAAGATTGGCTTAGTGGCTAAAACGTTCTTTTACTCGAAATGATGTCTAAGTTCAAATTTTATTGTTACGTTAATCAATTTTTCATATTTGCAATTCCTTTCTATTGATTGTTAACCAAATAAATAAATAAATAAACTTTTGTGCTCCAAAAAAAAGTGAATAAATAAATTTTGAATAATATGATATACCCAATTAAAGATTGAATTCTCCCTCCAAAGTTTGGCCAATGACATAAAAATGTGGCTATATTGAAGTTTTATTTATTTTGGAAAAATTATTTTTTTTTTTTGGGGGGGGGGTTGGTTTGGAATGTATGAAAATAAATATAACAATATGAACCTGTGGGATTAAATATCACGATACAAAAGCTTAACGCTGTGTTTGGTTGGGGAATTTGAGGAGGGATTTGGAAAAAGAAAAAGAAACGTTAGATGAAATGTGAATAAAATATACTTACATTTCACCTAGTTTTACACACATTTTCTCTTTTTCTTTCCAAATCCCTCCCTAAATCCTCCAACTAAACACAGCATAAGGTGATTTTGTTTTATGTTGCAAATACTAAAAGGGCAGTCATATTCACATTCTCCATTTTCTAATCATACATTTTTTTTAATTCTTAGGAAGAAGATAGTTAATTGTTTCCTTCAATTTTTAAAAAAATTGGGTATGATTGTCTTTTTATCCTTAATAAGACAGAAAAAATATATAAAAATACAAAAGCAGAGTGGGATAATACTTGAAACTCATTTCTTTCAATTCTTTTCTTCCTTTATTGGGATGGGCATCTCTCTTCTTCTTTGGAAAGCATGCTTTATGAAAGCATTTTCAGCCTCTCCTCCTTTCTGTACTATTTTGAAATTACTTCTACTTTTTTTAATATTTTATTAAATGCTAAACATGGTATGCTTATATATATAACAATCCTATCTTTTTTGACTTTTTGAAATATTCTATGTGGGCTCTTTTTGTCATTTTGAATCGTATTGTAATTGCATGATGATGTCCCTGACTCATCACCCATTTATTGGTTTTACAGTTGTAGCTTTCCCTTTCTTTCAAAGATACTTCAATTATTGTTATGATGGTATCCAAAGACTCTTTTATTATTTACTTTTATTTATTATTTTTTTTTTACTAAAGGTAAACCCTAAATAGGGTTCTATGGTACAAAGTGAGTACCATTTTGCAAAAAGACCATGCTATCCCTTAAAACCCTTGTATGGCACTACTAGCTCATGAGGTTGTGAGGTTTATTTGGTCAATATCATAGCTAACCAAAGGAAAATTACTGAGTAGTCTTTAAATATCATGTGATATTGTTTAGATGATACTCTCGATAAATGAGAAATTACAACACACATTTGGTGATCATCCTATAACTCTTAACATAAGCAGGCAACCAAACACAAAATTAGACATCGAAAATATATGTATGAATAGGATTTTACAAGATGTTTTAGTGGAGTCTACTTGTGATTTTTATTCTTTCCTTCCCCATGGCTATGACGTTAACAGATTAATAAACTAAGGTCAAGTTTGGAAAGACTAAATAAGTGTATTTTTTTGACTTTTTATGAAATATGAGTTGGATTTGGGTTCGGTTTGAAGTGATGTGTTAGAGAGGTGATGTGACTTAAATAAGATGATGTGACTTAAATAGAATAGTGACTTTTTGACTTTTTAGATTTTTTAGAAGATGTTAAACTTGGCTTAAATTACTATTAATGGACGTTCAATACTTCTTCATGAGTTCAAACCTCGAACCAAACCGCTCTGTACAAATCAAGGGGTACAATCACTTGAGCGAAAGTAATTATTTTAATTAAAAAATTATTACAAGTTGTTACATTATTTTTATTTTTATTTTTATTTTTTTATACATCATTCATAAAAAGTTTAAAAATAATTAAAATAATCTATTCCTTAACGAGGCGATGAAAAATTCTATCCATCAATATAACTTTTATGTTGGATTTCGTGTTTAATTCCTGGATTTTTGACTTAGGCCTAGTTTGGGAAGACTAAATAAGTGTACTTTTTGACTTTTTATAAAATATGGGTTGGGTTTGGGTTGGGTTTGAAGTGATGTGTTAGAGAAGTGATGTGACTTAAATAAGATGATGTGACTTAAATAGGATAGTGACTTTTTGACTTTTTGTCTTTTTTCAATCATGCCAAACTTGACCTTATTGTAACAAAAATAGATCAACCTTATCTCATTCCTAAAATCTTCATCATATCATTGATTTAGAACAATATTCCGAAAATACAAGATAATTACACAAACCAAAGGTGTGAGAGTGACAAATCAAGGCCTGTCCGCATTTTTATTTTTTTGAGAAGAGCCTGTCAATGTGTAAACAAAAACAAATTTGTGTTGCTGGCACTATCATGCTGGTCACAATTATGTGTGTGATTGTGTGGGGCCACATCTCTCAAAGCCCTTGGATGAAAGGACTTTTTTGAGATCTGAGCCAACTTTTTGACTGTTTTTGAGGGCTGTGCAAGTATTGTCCCACTGTTGTTATGGTGGGACCGCCCTCTCAGCACTTGAGATGATGTGCTGTGTAATAAAACACCCCCTGGTGTTTGATTGGTTAAGCATCAAAATTTTCCTTTGCCCTGTTTGAATGTTGGTTTCATTTTACCTTATCTTCCAACCAAAGCTAGTGGCTTCTATTTTTTTTTTTTTTGTATGGTACCCAAAAAAAGAAATTCAAAAAATAGTAATTTTTGGATATTATCCAAAAAAAAAAAAAAATTCCCAACAGTTAGATCTAAAGACAAAATCTAGTCATTAATTGATATTGTCTCAAAATTGACCATTTTGGTCTTTTTTTTTTTTTTTTTAACAAGTTTTTTTTTTTTTCATGCAGAGAAGTAAAAAAAAAAAAAAAAGGATAAATTAAAAATACACTCTTTGAGATTTGATTAAAATACGAATTGTTCTTTGTGATTTTAGAAATTACATTCCACCCCTGAGGTTTTTAATTTTATAACAAATTGTCTATTTTATTAATAAATCATCAAGTCAATTAATAGTTTTTAATGATGTTAGAAATATGTTCAAGTTAATAATTTAGATAATTTTATTATTGTATAAGAGAACAATTTTGAATTTTATTTTTTAGTTAATTTTGTTAAATAAAAAATGCTAACAAAGAGGTATTTATAATTTTTCAAACCACAGGAGGACAATCTATACTTTAAGCAAATCGGGGGGATGTATTTGTAATTTATTCATAAAAAAATGATATGATAACTTATAACGACTTTTTGATTTTTTAACTATTTTATCTCATTTCGTATCATAGTAGGATCACAGTGACTGACTATGTTCAGTTTGGTCGGTGTTAAGAGTAGGTTTAACACCAAATCAATTCTTTTGGTTTTAATAATTGAGAAACTAATATAGACCGTATATTACGGTTTAGTTCTATCAGTTTAATGTAGAAGAGGGATTTACTCGAATTCTTGAAGCTGTTGGAATGAAGCCCAAAAACACTATATAACTTCTCTGAAATAAATCAAGTTGAGGTGGCCATTAAATGGTCCCCAAGGTGTTTTGGATGATATATCATAAACCAAGATGAGCTTTGATAGTTCCAAATGTGGACATGCTTGCTTTGTGTAAAGAGTTTATGAAAAACTTCAACACTACTTTAGCTTTGTCTATATTTTTTACCAGTGAAATTTCTCACTTTCTCAGTTTTTAATGTTTCCGTTAGTTTTCTTTAAGTTACTTTCTATGGTGTCTTAGTTTTGGGTACAAATTATTTTGAGCTTGTATAGTGACCTTTTCTCTTTTCAATTGGTTCAGTTCCACTAGCACTAGTACATCTCCGGTGAGCACCACACCCTCATCCACGACGCCTACTACCACGACGCCTACTACCACAACACCTTCCACCACCGTGACACCATCCACCACCACTCCCGTGGGTGGTTCTCCTTATGTGACAACTCCCACAGGCGTGTTAGGACCTACAGGAACCGGCATCAACACTGACGTCAGTGAGGGCGGGCTTATGCTTCATCCGACAAGTGTGTTCTCTTCCTTAATAATCCTCATGTTTTCGGCATTTATGTTCTGATGAGGTTAGAAGAAGTCGATGAGAAGTTTAGGGTGGTGGGGTAGAATGGTTGGTATTGATGTTGAAGTTGATGTGCAGAGGCTGGGGGCGTGCATGTGATTCTACTACTAGTTTGTGGGAATATATCTAAAGACAACTTTATTTTATTTTTTGTTTTTTTCCTTACCTTTTTAACTTGGGACAGAAGATGGGCTTTTGAGTGGTACTGTGGCTATCAGTGGGTGTTCTCTCTCTCTTGTAACTCTAGATCTCTAGTTATTTATTAATTTGGTGAGAATGATGCACCCCATGTTCCTAGTTAGTACTTTGCAAAACATTTGTTTTAGATAACTTGTCATGGTGTGGCTTATTTTAATTTCTCTATCTAGATCTTTTTTGTCTTTGTTTTAAGTCACTTCTCTACTACCGGGGTTGGTGGTTCAGTGATAAAGGTATTGTCTTCCCGTGACAGTGAGTCAAGTTTGACTCTTAAGAGGTGCGAAATGCTGAATTTTTCAATGGTTTTTTTCCGAGACCTCACGTTATACTCCGATCGAATCTTTGTTCTGCTTAGGGATGGCAATGGTGAGGGTCTTACCATTCCCAATTTCCAATTCTCAATTTTTATTTTTTACCATCCTCCCTTCCCAATCCCCAATGGTGACCAATTTCTTACTATCACCCCCGCCCCTCGTGGGGATTGGTTTTTTCCGCCCCTAACATCCTCACCCCATTTGCTTTGCTTCATTGCTTTGCTTTTGGTATATCCCCGTTAATATAAACAAAATAAAAGCAAAAAATTAAGAATTGAAAAAAGTGAGTAAAAGAGACAAATTGATTAAGATTGTGTTTGATTTATAAATTTGAGAACAAATTTGGATAGATTTTATATACATTTTTTTTTTTTCAAATTTCTTTTCAAATTCATAAACCAAATACAATCTAAAATTAACGATTTTTATATATAAAAAAAATAACTATACTGTTTCAGTTGTTTTTTTTAATACTGCTTCATTTTTTTTTTTTTTTTCCTTCCTTCTTTAGATCAAGTAATACTTCAGTATAATGAAAACAAACAAACAAAATTAAGAAGGAAAGTAAGAGAGAAAGGAAAAATCAATTAAAAGAAAAAAATAACTTTCAAATTATTGAAAGAATCTCACACCAAGAAAATATTAATTAAAATTAACTAAAGATTGTGTAGATCTTATTCGATAATTTTCTAGTTTTACACCAAGAATAGGTTGATTTAGGTTTCATTTGTTTTGATATAAAATATTTTTCATATAAATTGATTTTACACACAAAAAAATATTTTGTATTTGTTTTTCGATGTTTAGTTCATAATTGAAACGATAATTTTCTATTGCATGAAAGAGTTGTTAGAAATAGTTTTGGGAGTTTTGGAAAAATTAGATTCTATCTTAACTTTGGTCTAATTTTTAGGTGGAACCCATGCTCCAAAGTTGATGAGTGTAAGTGGTAACGCGCTCTATGCTGTGTTATGATTCACGTGATATATTTGATTGCTCAAAACCATTATCAGGTGAATGAGAAATTGATGCCAAAGAGAACTCCATGGAAATTGTGTTTTTGGTGAAATTTCCTAAAGGTTTGAATGAAAGCTTGTTCCACATTGATTTGATGGGAAACTGTGAGTGGATTTACAAGGCTTGGAGTTGGAACTTGGGGTAGGCCCCAAAGGGTACCCAAGTTTTGTAGAGATGGAGGTTATGAACAAAGTGGGTTAGACCCATTGAATCTAAAAATAAACATGCGCGCCGCCGCCGTCTGAGTAGGTGGTGTGAGGTTGGGTTGGGCTTATCTGGCCCAATACTAATTATTTTTGGGCCAAAAACTTTTGAATTTTATTTTTTTTAAATTAAATTTTAATTTTTTGGAATTTGAATTTCGAAAATTAATTTCAAAAAATTCTACCCGATTTTTTCCTCCACCAAAATTCTGTCCGGGTTTTATCTGTTTGAATTTAAACCAGAACAGATTCAGCATCTGTTCAAATTCAAACCCAAACAGTGCATTGCCTATTTAAATTCAAACCATACCTGTTCAAACAAGTTTGCATCTGTTTAATTCAAACCTAACAGTCACAATTTCTCCTATATATAACTAGACTAGCCCCTCATTTGATGTTTTCATTCACAATTTTCGTACTTCTCCTCTGCAATAATTCTCTGCATTTTGCTGCATTAAATTTCTATGAGAAAGAGTATAAAACACTTTAGTGTGTTCGTTGTGCAAACAATTTGTAGTGCTGCTATTGTATGTTGTTGATCATTTTATTTTAGGAGATAGACACTCATAATCTGAAAGTATCATAGAGAGGACGAAACTGTCTTAAGGACACAGTGTCAAATACTGGACTTGATCAGAAAATTTGTTCAACATATTAATTTGGTAAGCAATTAATTATTTTCTGTTTTATTATTTTTTCTGTTTCAGATTTTCATTTTGTTTTTGTAACAAAATAAAAATCTGTTTTATTTATTTTATTTTATTTTTTGGTTTGATTTTTGTAATCAAATAAATTCTCTCATTTCCTTTATTTCTTCTGTATTTCGTTTGTTGTTAAGTACACAAACATAATTTATTTTTTCAAATACAGTGAAGATTGTCTAACAAAAGTTAGGATACCTATTTGAAAAGTCAAATGCGTTGACAAAGTTTGATTACATAATTTTTATTGTCAAGTAGTTTTTGAAACTCTAATGAAAAACATTTTTACTCATATTTTGTTCAACCAAATAATAAAAAATGAATAGAATATTTTTTTTTAAAAAAAAGACGTTTTACATTAAAAAAAAAAAACTTTAATAAAAATAGTTCGTAGTAGTAGTAATAATAATAACAATTTACCTTGAATAGGTAAAAAATTTACATGAAACTATTCGTAATTTTTTATTTTTTCATTTTTAATTCTAAATTTTGTAAATTAGGAAGTATAACATAAAAGAATTATTATTATTATTTCCCTATATTTAGTTATAAATTGGACTACATTGACTTAATTATAAAAGTTGAAAGGCATAAATAAAAAAATTAAAAGTATGAGATTTACACTTAAAATTTCAAAGAATTAAAAGTTTAATAATTATATTGAAAATATAATTAAATTTAGAAGCACTAATTGATAACTGATCATATATATATATATATATATGTGAGTGTGTGTGAAGTATAAAAATAGCAATAGTATATAAAATTATTTTAGGATAAAGAACCAATAGCTTGTTATTGCATAGTTGGTTAGCAGTTTCATTATAACTTCATCAAGTATGGTGTTCAACTCACGAAGACTCTTTTGTTTTTACCTTGACTTGGAGACAAGGGTACGAATTTTTCACCATTGGGTATTCACTAACCCAGTCCTGAAAAAATCGAAGATTCACCAATCAATTTTATATCCAAGCCATGGGGGAAAAATTTCGGAAAATCCACTCTACTATTATAATAGGGGGTGGGGTGGGTTTCCATTGGGTTTGGATTTAATTGCCATCTCTAGTTCTACTAGGGGTGATTGATAAGCTCCACTGGTGCTTCAGTAGTAGGTTCCTTCTTATGAGTTGGGTTAAATCAAGCTGGCAATCGGTTATTCGGAGCTTGGGCCCACGAATATCGTGATGACAGAGCATCTTTTTTTTGAGACCTAAAAAAAAGTCACTTCTCTTTACATGATGTGTTTGATTTGGTCATGTCATGAAATGGTCTAGGATAAAAGGAGATCCGAGTAGGTGTTTGTTGGTCTGGGATAAAAGCAGATCCGAGTAGGTGTTTGTTCTTTGTCTCAAGCCAATTCTCTACCACACAATGGTTTGTCTAATCTACTCATGCTGTGAAGTGGTATTGGATAAAAGGAGATCCATAGGGGTCTTTGTTTCCTATCTCAAGCCACTTCTCCACCACACAATTGATTTGTTTGATCTAATCATATGGTGAAGTGATTTGAGACAGTGGGAGATCTGGATTTGGATAGAGAATTTCTTCTATTTTGCCCTCAATACAACCATTTGTACCTTTTGTGTTACTTTTAAAATGTTTTGTAATTCTAGTTGCATGGAGATATGTTGTTTTCCCTGACTATGTAGGAAGAGCATCATCGTTGCTTTGAGAAGCATTCTTGGTATGTTTCGTGCTAAAAAATTGAAACAAATTTGGGAGTAAAAACCCTAATGCACTTGTGAATATGTCAATTAGCTTAGCTATCCCGTCTCTTAAAGTGTAACTTTTATGCATGACCATAAGGCCAAAGCTGAATCATTCCCTACAATCCTGATCCAGCAAATTTAGTCCAACTGGGTAATAAGTTGTTAAAAATTTACTTAAAATTTGAAAGAGTTCCAAAATGTGTTTTGCCTTTTAAGTCGTTCTTAAACGAGTTTGAATTAAACTAATAAGCTGTTTAAGATTGACTTGAAAACAAAACAAGTTTCAAAATGTGTTCAAGTTTAGTTTTATTTATTTTTCAAGTTGATCTCAAAAGACCTTTTAATTGAACTGATCGCAAGTGATTTTTAAAAGTTTAAATTTTCATAATGCATATAACCGTGTTGAATTGATTAGTTTGATTTACAAAGCTAGCATAAAATGGTTTTCAAACCCTAATCATGCATGTTCAGTGATTGATTTTGTAGTTGCTTATAAACATTTTTTTTTTGTTGGATACATATGCTCTTTGTAAATATTTTGGACTTCTCTCTTTGTGCTTGTGAGAGAACTCATATTATAATATTTGCAATACACTCTTTTCGAGTAAATTTATTCTAATAAATTATGGTACCAAATTTAAAATTCAGTAAACTTGTCCTTAATCTAGTTAATGATAATTAAATCTAAACCCAAGAATGTTATCTGCTTATTGCAATTTGAGATATATGAGTATTAGTACTTCAGTTTTGGTTCCCAAAGCACCCCAAATCAGGCTATTTACTCTTTTTTATTTTTTGTTTATTTTTATAATGAATAGATTATTAGTTTCTTTCAAGAAGGTAACATATTTTAACAGATCTCTTGGAGCAATCAGGTTTTCATTGTGTTTGGATTAAGGGTGTTTATGTAAGAGTGTTCATGTGCCGATTTGGTTTTGTTTGACATTAAACTTAGAATCAACTTAATTATGATCGATTTCAAATTTTTAGATGTAGAATCAAAACCAATCATACACTAAAATCAACTCAACGTAACCCAATGTAGCTCTGGTTGGTTTAAGTTGAAACTGCGGTTCCACTATATTAAAAATAAGTAAGTCAATTAAGAGTAAATAATTAAAATAAACAAATCTTTAACTTTTAAATATAACACAAACAGAGAGCAAAATGTTATTTAATACAAACTAATACAAATTAAATATATTAATACAATCAATACAAATTAAA